GAGTTAAGTACCAAATACAGGCACGCCTCATTTTCCCGCATCAAGTACCCTGTGGGCTTATCTGGTGGTGGTGTTTTTCCACAGAAGGTTGTGGCCACGCACCCAGCGTTGAGCAAGTGTCATTTTCCCATCAGCTTGTGCTCACTTTGTGCCTCTGCCAATTTGGTCATTCTTACACGGTTTCAAACTTCTTCACAAGGGGCCCTGATGGCAGAGCGGGCTTACGAGTTGGGCTGCTAACTCCAAGGTCAGCGGTTCAAAACCACCAGCCACTCCACAGAAGACGAGGCTTTCTGGGGCCTGTAAAGACTTACAATCTTGAAAACCCAAAGGCACATTTTACTCTGTCCTGGACGGTCGCTGTGAGCCGGAATGGCCTTGGTGAGAGTTTTTCATTTTAGTTTGTGGTACATCTAGCATACTTTTCATAGGCACGGGGGTCCAGAGGATCCACGTGACTCTCCGTAGTATTTGCTCTTTTGCGGTCCACCTGGAACTATCATCGCCGAGGTCTACCTGTAACTACACTAAATTAAGCAAAGCCAGGTCTGCACCCTGAATCTCAGCAGGGAGCAGAGCCTATTCACCTTATAGTCACTAGAGGGCTGGGTGGTTCAAGGGATAAGGTAGCGTTTTGTTTTAAATTTCTGAAAGCGCTCGTTAAGATCTATAGAGAGGTTTTTACCTGTAAAGAAATGAAACTAGCCGTGCCTGATTTTCCAAAAAGGCAGAGGGATGTGCACACCTGTCACACGAACAGCATCCCAGTAGGGCCTGCCTGGTGATCCTGCGACAGTCGGTGGGCATGATGTCACTCACTGGCCACCACTCATAGGCATGTAATCGGAAAGACACTCCCTGATGAACACATGCAGTGTTCCCAAAAGCCACCCAGATGTAGTTTCTGATGCTTCATGATACATTGTTTTTCCGGACATACAGCCTACCAGTAGTCCCCCCCAAACTGACGGGCTTCCACCCCAACAATGCCACGTGGTTCTGATGTCAGTTGAATACCTCTCCCTACTCCCTCTGAACTCCCCAAGTTTTCTTCTCTGCTGCCTATTATCAGCAGGATCTGTAGAAAGCTGATCTTTGAACATCTGCCAGTGAACACCTGAGAATGCTTTCAGCAAATTACACAGTGGCAATGTGTTGTTGTTGGTAGGTGCACTGCACATGATAAAAGGTACAGAAACAACCCGTCAGTTGTAGGTGCTGTAACTCATATATCATATACCGGGAACCATCTGCACTGTAAGAAAAAAGGGAAGGCGGGAAGGATGAAAAGAGCCTGTGAGTTCACTGTCAACTCCATGCCAATCGTCTATCTCAGGCCAAACAGGATTGGAAGCCTTGCTGAGCCAGCCCCTCAGAATTGCCGCCCAGGGCTGGTGAACTGCTGGCATGCTATGAGGGAGGAGCTCCCTCCCATTCCTTCAGACAGTCCGGATTCCAAAAGGTGCTGGAGTCCCAAGTACATTCTTACACTTCCATGATTCTTTGTCTTGTGCAGCAGCACAAAGTGCCCCTATGCTCTAGCCTCACTCCGGCCACGAGAACGTCAACATGCATTAAAGCGATTGTCTGTGGAGCACGAGACTTCAAAACCCAAGAATAAACTTCATCTTTTAAAGAAGAAAAACAATTAAAAACGAACATAATGATGGTAGGCCTATTCAACTTTAAGATGGCCCAAGTAGGAGATGTGTAATTTTCTGTGCCAATAGGTTGAGGACACAAACACTCAGCCCGTTTGGGAGTATTTGGTAACACCCCCCCTCGCCCCCCGGGGCAAATATCACCTTAGAAGTGAGGTGAAAGGGCAACAAAACCAGAGAGAAAAGGGCGAGTCAATAGCCTACATCAAATACCTTTATGTCAGATTAAAAGGTCTTGTGACCATGGTGAAGGAAAGTAAGCCCACGTTGTTGTTGCGATTTTGGGGCCCAGCTCACACCTCACTAAACGTTGGTTAACTTCCTACCCTAGAAGAGCGGTTTTCAACCTGTGGGTCGAGACCCCTTAGGAGGTCAAACGACCCTTTCACAGGGGTCCCCGGTTCTTAACAGTACCAAAATGACAGTGATGAAGTAGCAACGAAAATAATTTCATGGTTGGGGGTCATCACCACCTGAAGAACTGTATTCAAGGGTCGCAGTATTAGGAAGATTGAGAACCACTGCCCTAGAAACAATGGTTAACACTCTTGGGATGCTGTGTGAGGAAATAGGGAACGAATATAGGTACCTTGAAGTCCCCAAATATCTGCAGTGTGGACCAGGAAATTGATGCCAGACGCATGGAGAAAACCCCATGGACAGAAACATGGAATACAACTCCTCATCTTATGGATTTTTTCTTTTTTTTTAAGCAAGTCATCAGCTCTAACACAATTATCCCACTAAGGAACACCGAGTGTGAGGAAATGAACGCCAAAGGTCAATAACCACAATCAGCCCTTGATGGGAAACGTTTGGTGCTTTTTAATACGTTGGG